AAAAAAAAAAAAAAAGATTTGGGAGTTTGGATACTGCATACTGTGAAACCAAACCCCCTGCCATGAAAGCCTTTCCATGCCAGCTTATAGAGAACCCCTCCCTCTTCACACCACCCCAGTGGCAGTCCATAACTCAGCCAGTCTCCAGAGTTTTCTGAGTAGTGCCCTGCCTACTGTTGTTGAGGTCGCGTGGTTTTGTTTTTAAAGTGCTGGGGATAGAACCCAGGGCCCTCATGAATTTTAGGCACATGCTCTGGTCCTGAGACACACTTCTGGCCTCCATTCTCCTGAAGCCCAGTGTAGAGATGACTCCCTGGATCTTACCTGTCCACATGCTCCTATGGTGGGCCAGTGTGATTCTATATGTGTTTTTATGTATGTATGTATGTATGTATGTATGTATGTATGTATGTATGTATGTGTTTGTAGGATGTATATATGTATGCATGTGTGTATGTATGTATGTGTATATGTATGTATCATGTATTTATTTTAAAATTTCTTTTAGTTATACAGCTCTAGGATGGTATCTTTGCTCTATCCCCTTAAGATGGGGTCAATCATGTAGTCTTTCTGGGCACCACAGGGAACAGGCAGTTTGACATCCCAGTGAAAGTTGCTTAAATTATTTATGTGGCTATTGTGAAAAGTGCACATTACTCCCCTTCTGGTCCCTGGAGGACCATGGGGATTTCTGAGGATAAATATGATAGGGTGTGTGTGTGTGTGTGTGTGTGTGTTGCTTGTATGCATGTCTGTACACCATATACAGGACCTTGTATCCCTGGGACTGGTGTTACAAACAGCTGTGAGATGCCACATGGATGCTGCAGATGGAATCAGGGGTCCTCTGAAGAGCAGCTCTTGGCTACCAAGCCGTCACTCCAGCCTGGTATGCTATTTTGAGCATGTTTAGACCTTGGCTGTCCAGTGAACAAATCTGGGCACAGTGGGGCAGGGAGGGGGGTTAACCAGACAGGTGCTTCACTACCCAGTACCTGGGCCTGGTGCTGCAGGTGAAAGGTCACAGCTGTGCTCAGCTCCCCAGTAGTGCCCATACCTCGGGAGAGTATATCTGACCGCACTTGGGTGCTTAGGAACCTGTAGGGACAAAGGAAGATTTTAAAGGTGGCCATACCACAACTCAGGGCCTGAGGTCCAGCCTCAGGGACTTGTTGGAAAGCCCTGTCTCCTCTCAGAGTCTCAGCTCTAAAACCAGATCCCAGATGAGAGGGGAGCAGGTCCCAGCCCGCACACTGATAAACATTGATCTGCCCACCATGAAGGGGGTCTGGGAAGAGATAGAGGCCTGACTTCTCCAGGGCGTGAGGGAGACACAGGTCTTCTGCAATCTACTGGGTGGGGTTTGCTCACCTCTGAGCCTTAGCCTTCTCTGAGCCATCAGGGACCTGGGCCTCTAGACCAGGTGCCTCCAGGGTGCCCTGGAAGATGCTCAAGGTGAGCCAGCTGTAGATGACCATGACTTCAGAAAGGCCTGGCAGAGTGGGAAGCACTAGATATCTCTGAAGGCATTGCTCTCTCCCTTTTACAATAGGGGAACTGAGGGGCAGAAGCCCGTGACTTTCCTAAGATCACATGACTGACTGAAAAGGCAGCATTCCAATCAGCCCTGGTTTACACATCCTAACCTGTAGTTCCAAATCCCTTTGTCTGTCCTGCACACTGATCCCCAACTCCTGAGTGGTCAAGGCTGGGGGCCTTTTTCACTTAGCTACTTCTGAGGAAATCATGTGGTTCACTGGAGGAGATTAAGTGAATGCCAGAATGTGTTGGGGGCTTCTACCTTCACAGCCATCCACCAGCCAAGAGCTAATAGCCCATCTTACATATGAAGAAACTGAGGCTCTGCAAGCTAAGGCTAGCCCATCAAAGAAGCACAGACAGTGATATCAGAGCAGATGTTTCACCTGGAACATGACAGGGGTCCAGACAGCTTTCCTCTTCACCCACCTTCCCCTAGGAGCCAGCTCACTTCACCTGCAGAGGTGTGGATGTGGCCTGGTACATCTGGATGCCCTCCAGGTGTTGGCCTCCATCAGGTACAGGCTTTGCACCTCCAAGCCTGGGGTCAAATGGAGCCATGGTTAGACTTTAGAAGGGAGGGCTTTCTGCCAGGGTGTCCATTTTCAGGTTGGGCTTCCCCTCTACCCACTCAGGACTGGGGGCCCACTATTCAAGCCCAGAAAGCTTGAGCCTCTAGACCAAGATACAATGGCTTCTTGGAGTCCTGAGGGGAGGTTGTCACCATGGGGTGGGACCTGTGGCTGAAGATCACTATGGGAGTCCCCATTGGATCTACAAACACTTGATGAGTGTGAACTTGGGTCTAGCCCTGGGCAGAGATTGTTCAAATATGCCTGGGACTCCAGGGCCATCAGGAAGGAGGGACAGTCCTATTATGCAGAGACATGCTCAAGATGTTAGAGTAACTGAGGATGGAAGACCTGCCCATAAAGAGAGAATTCAGGCGTGTGTGTGTGTGTGTGTGTGTGTGTGTGTGTGTGTGTGTGTGTGTTTCTGGTGAGGAGTTAGTGCTCAAGCATGGCTCTGAGGGGAGGAATTTTCTAGGAGATCAAGGGGGAAAGGGCAGCATGGGCAGAAGACACAGCCTGGGTAAAGGAAGAAAATGCCGGGAAGTGCATGGAGGTGCAGAGAATGAGCTCTCAGAGACCATTCTAAGGAATGACGTCTGGGTCTAGTTGTGGGAGTGGATGGTTACTCACCAGCAAGGCGATGCTGGATATGAATTTGAGGCTGTGCAGAAGTCAGTTGAGATCATCAGGGATGCCAGGCACTGCACGCTCATCACCAGGGTCCTAGGCCCACCAGCCACCTGGGAGGACGCTGCAGCTCTGCTCCTGCTCCCACACCAGGTCCCACCATCACAGGCCCTGATCTGGGGGTCACAGATGCTTGGGTTTCTGACTCCAAACCCTTAGTGGCCTCAAGATCAAGGCCTGACTTCCTCTCCTTACCTCAGCCTCCTGTAACCTCTCCAACTCTGTCTATCCAGTCAACCTGCAGGTCTCCTAGTGTGCTGTGTTGCTGCTGTGTTTGCCAACTGGAGCCTACCCTGTCTGGACCACCTCACTCTCCACCACTGATTCAGTGTGAAGCCCATAATATAGGCGCCCAAGTTTCATATTAAAAAACAAAACAAAACCCAAAGTCATGTGGGAGTGAGTACAGGGGAGGGGACCAAGAAAATTCACTGAGTGGCTGTCCACCTTCTGCTGGGCAAGACATCCAGTTCACTTCTCCATTGTCTTAGCAAGGCTAGTGTGAGAATCCCATTCTCCAGTAAGAAAACCGAAGGCCAGGGTTTCCTCACGTACCACAGTGCCCCAAATCCCTAGTTCCGGGCAGACTTCGCACATGCCTACCTGTCCAGGTGAACAATCCTCAGTGCCAGCCTCCTTGGTTGTGCCATTTCCACTGCCCTTGCACCCTGTTCCTAATTCTATCCACTAGCAACTTGCAAGGATGAATTTTCTAATAGCCTCCCCTTCCAGCGGCAAATTCTGCTCTCCAGAGTGCCTGCCTGTGTATTTAGGCAGACATGATGGGTGGACCACTCCACATAGAGGACACCCCACTTGAGGCAGTTGGCAGATTCTTAGATATGGGGAGGGCCCTTATCCACCAGTGCCTCTTAATACCATTCTTAACTATGTGCGGTGTTCAAGTGGAATTTCCACTCATGTGACAAAAGGATCTTCTCCTATGGCATCCAGAGATGCAGCCCAGAAATGGGTGCTGACTCATCCACAGTTAAACGATAAGGGGGCTGCAAGGCCAGATCCTGCCCAGCTTTGCCTGCCTCACCTCGGTGATGGACAGCCACTCACTGGTTGATTGCTCCTCCAGGTCCAGGCTGACCACAGACATGAAGCCTCCTCCAAGTCCCTCCCAGAGCTTGGTCAGCGGCTCCAGCTCCTTAGCTCCAGAGCAGTCATACTTTTCAGGAAGTGCAGGATGACCAGCAGGGCAACAGGCCCCAGGGGATCTGTCTCCTCTGCCAGGACTCTCTCCAGGAGGCTCAGGACACTAGAAGCCTTGTCCAAGGACAGGGTCCCCAAGGGCTTCAGAGAGGGGGCTTGGGAGAAGCTGTGGATAGAGGAACAACTGACATGAGGGAACTCTCCAGGGTCACAGCAGGGCACTGCCAAGGTCTTTTTAGTGGATCAAACCCACATGTCACTAGCTCCCAGCTGTCAGGGATTCTAAAACATGAATAGGAACAGACTGTATTTCTGCAGACACCTCAGGTGGGTGTCTGTGGAGAAAAAATAAGGTACAGGGAGTTGACCCACAACGGCACAGACTTTCCAGGCTCCGGGGATGGGCTTACCACAGTGGCATTGGCCAAAGCATTGACTGTGCTGATCTGGCCATGACTAGAAGTCCTGAAGCTGCTGATAGGTCTCTGTGAAGAGTGGAGGCCAGGTTGGGCCCCCAGAAACAGAGGGGCCAGCTGGCTCTGTGACCACCCACTATGTGCTATTCTGGACAGGAAGAGCACATCTGTGGCAGTGTCTGGAGAACTGAACAGTGTGCTAGATGGGGAAATTGAGGCACAGTGTTACTGGGTAGCTTTGACCTGGAAGTACTACCCCTAGTGAGGCTTCTGGTAACTGCCACGCCTACCTATGACCTACCCCTGGGATGGGCTGAGACCCCGAGATCTGTATGTGCTGGACCTCTTGGTTCTTCGTGGTCCTGGATGCTGGATGGAAGACCAAGTCAGAGTTCTCCAGAGAACCCTGCTGGACTACACCTCACTTTTCTCAGATCTTATAACCAACCCCTTTACTGGCTGTAAAGTTATCCCAAAATAAACCTCCTTTTTAACTACATGGAGTTGCCTTGTTAAATGCCCACATTAGCACAGCATGGTAGAATGTTCAAAGTCACGAAGCTGAGATTCACCCCAGAACTGTCGGGACTGATTGCCTGTTGTGTAGATCTGTGGAGCCCTCAAGCTTGGAGATTATAAATGCTCTGACTTCTCTTCTGCCTGGCTCTTCAGCAGAGCTCCGGCACAGCTAAGGCGCACCTGTTTGGTAGCAGCAGAGAAAGGGCTGTGGGTGCAAGCAGAATTCAGAGCCCTTGGTGCCCGGTCCTGGGTTCCACGTGGGGCACTCCTCTGTGGGCGCTGGCAGGAGTAGCAAGATGACAAGACCACATCTTAGCTCTCTATCCAGTGGGTACCATACCCATTTACCCATGCAGGTCCAAAGGGCATCTGCTCATGACTGGGATACAACATCACCACAATTGGGTGTGTCGAGATGAGGGAGATGAGGCTCTGAAGCCAGCACTGAGCGAGTCCACACTAAGCCTAGGCTGTTACAATTGGGCAGCTTACGGACAGACACTGTTGGCCTGGAGAGGGCATGGCCAGAATTGGAGATCAAATTGGCAAAGGCTGAGCTGGAAGCTGGCGTGTCTAAACAGGGGCGGAGCTAAATCCAGTCGGCCACCAAGGGATGGGCATAGCAGCTGGGCTGGGCCGGTCGGGGCCCACATCCTACCAGGACAGAGCAGGCGCACATGCATTGTCGGCAACAGGAGCATGGTGTCCGGGGCCTCTGGGTCCAAACGTGATGGCCACCAAGAAAAGTATTAAGGGCCCTATGAGGGATGAGACCAGAGTAGTAAGCCAGGGGGACTGGGAGTACCAGCTCTCACACCAACTTCGGGTAGCTTTATGGTTTTTTGTTTGTTTGTTTGTTTGTTTGTTTTAAACTAAACCTTCCCTGACTTTTGCCATGGAATCTTTAACTATTCCTGAATGATCTGCATAAAAACAACATTCTTGCCGGGCGGTGGTGGCGCACGCCTTTAATCCCAGCACTCGGGAGGCAGAGCCAGGCGGATCTCTGTGAGTTCGAGGCCAGCCTGGGC